AGCCTGTGCTGGTACTGTGGGTTGCCCCAGCCCAGGTGTAGGATCTTGCACTTGCCATGGTTGAACTTCAAAAGAGGTTGGCATGGGCCCACCTCTCCAGCCTGTCCAGGTCCCTCTGGATGGCATCCCATCCCTCTGGTGTGCCAACCACACCACTCAGCTTAGTGTCATCCGCAAACTTGCTGAGGGTGCATCTCGGAGATAAAAGCCTGATCCTGCCTCTTTAGCCCAGTGTTGCTGAGGATTTCAGAGCAGACAGGATAAAGTGAGGGTGAGGATTTAAGCTCGTTTTGGTCCTTGCTTGCCAGGATCTAGCTCCTGCTGTCACCCCGTAGGTTTGATCCTGAGGGCTTTGCCAGCTGTGTTGGCAGGAGCTCCCCTCAGCTCCCCGGGCACCACCGGGGCCGGCCCTGGCAGCGCTGCTCCGACTCTCAGGACGCTTTTGCTCTCTTCCCACGAGGCCTGTCTGATCGCGCAGTCTGTCCCTCTGCCCAGCTCCTGCTCCAGCCAGGACAGGCAGCCAAGGCAGAGTCTGGGCCAGCAGCCCCGGGCAGCCGTTCCGCCAGGATCATGGTGCAGCACCCTGGCTTTGCCGGCTCTGTCCACGCTGCCACCAACCCATGGTGACAGCTGGTGCTGTACTGAAATTCTTTGGGGAATGATCCTTTAAAATGATCCCTCTCAACTTTTGTTCTTGGGGGAGCTTTGAACTTTCTTGCTGCCCCCGGAGCTATCACGGCTGCCTGCGAGCCCCCATCCCCCTTGCCCCAGCCCTCCCAGTGTGCCATGGGTTTGCTCTGAAGCAGGACGGCCCCTGACAGCCCATTGTCACGGGGTTGGCTGCACACCATGGGATTGTGGTTATCCCAGGGCCTTTAATTGTAGAGATAAGGAAAACGAAGTTAAATTTGGGAGAGGGGGAAACTGGAACTAATAGTATCTGCTGTGTCTTCAGGAAAGGGAAGTTGTCTTTGAGTTAGGGTGAGCATCTCTGGAGTCCAGACACTTTGGCTTCTGACTTTCCTGTTGATGCACCCTGTGATTTTTTGGGGGACCTGTCTCTAAGCAGGCGGGTGCGGGGGGAATGAGCGCTGCTCCATGGGGTGGGGGGCGGAGGGGGAGACCAGTTTTGCTACTGTCCAGTGAAAGCTGCTGTCAAGTTTTAACAAAAAAAAATAAAGAGGTTTTCTACTTTCTGTGTTGACTGTGTAATTTATCATCTGGCTTTGACTTCGCTGGAGGATGAACTCCTTGCTGGGGGCTCTGCAAGCGGAGCTCGTGGAGCGGAGGGAGGGCTCCTGTGCCGTCCAGGCGGGAAGCAGGGATGTGCGTGCCCAGCCGGCCCGCGGGCCAGCAGCAAGCTCGTTCTAGGCTGGCTTTGCTGAGGCAATGGGGAAAATCACTGCCTGGCTTAGGTGCTGTTCTGGGTCATGTTCCCCTTGCAGCCGGACTGGAGCCACCAGCCTGCCCCTGTCCTCTGTGTGCCAGCTCTTGTCCCCAGCTCTCTGCTGGTGTGTGGTATGCATGTCTACAGGGAATGGGGTGGGAAAAGACTTAAATTTGCACGTAGGCCACTGGCCGAGGCAGACTGAGAGTGTGTCCTCCCCAGTGAGGTGGGCTCAGGGTGCAGCACAGGGGACTCTGCTGTCCCTAGCCCCGTTCAGCCCTGAGAAGCTGCACGGTGACACTGGGGTCAGCTTCAGCTCAGCACTTCTGCCGGCCTGGGAATGCCGCAGGCAGAGCTGCCCCAGCTCAAAAAGTGTAGGAACCTACTCCTGGCCTTGCACCAGGCCAGGGCATGGTGGCCTCGGGGGACCGGAGCCCCCCCGGTGCCTGCCACGGGCTGCTGGGTGCATCCCACCCCTTTCCTCCTGCCTGGGGACCTGGGGAAGAGCAAAGAGCAGGGAGCGCTGAGACATCACCAGCAGGTACCTGGGAGCAATGGGGTTTCTGCTGCAATTAGATATTTAATAACTTTATTAAATAAATAATTGTAATAGAATATTAAAAGATATTTACTAAATAGGCAAGTGCTCCAGGCAGATGCCAGATTTCAGGTTGCAGGCAGGGAGAAGTGGTGTGTAGTGGAGCCATGGCTGCGTACCACAGCCTTCAGGGTTGTCCTGGGTGCCCTTTGCCAGCCTGGCCACGGGGAGGATGGACGCGCATGTCGGTCCCGTGGGAGGGAAAGCCCCGCTGTGCTCGGCACGGCGCACACGAGAGAGCCTGATGGTCCGATTTCCACTCATTGCCCAGCTGGATATCAGCCCCTCTTCATGTTGTTTCCCTCACATATTGTTATACTTTAATGCTCCAGGGAAGGGGGGGTGGGGGAGGCGGGGTGTCTAGCTAATTTAATCATGAGTGCGCTGGAGGATAACGTGGCTTTGCTACAGTGGTGGCAGTGATGGGGTCCAGGAGGTAAGAGCTGCCCCAGCTGAGCCTGCAGCTCTCGCTGCAGTTGGAGGAAACAACTCTGTCATGTCTCTGTGCCCCCAAACTCTCCGCTTGGTGCTTCCAGGGGAAGCCAGGAACCCTCTTAGGACACGGAGCGGGGAATCCTCGACTTCTGATTCATCATGGCAAGAAGTTCTGTCAGTCTCAGCCAAGCCGTTTTGAATGTGCCGTCCCAGCCGGACCCAGCTTGTTTAGCTGCAGCCTCTGCCCCCGATGGATCTGGGTGCAGGGTGCCCGCGGAAGGGATGAACAATGGCAGTGGGGGGCTGCCACCCCCGGGACACTGGGAAGCGTGTGGTGCCGGACCCTGAGCACCGGCACCTGGAGCTGGACACAGTGGGCGCCACGTCATCTGCCCTGCACCTCTGGGGCAACTGAAGTTACCTGTGGCTTGAGACCTGCTCAAGGGGACAGGTAGTGTCATGCTGCTCCGCCAGCTGAGCCAGGGTGAGCTGGGTGTTGCAGGGCTGACTTGACTACAAACTTGACCATAGGAAGTTCCATCTAAACATGAGGAGGGCCTTCTCTCCTGTGAGGGTGGCAGAGCAGTGGCACAGGCTGCCCAGAGAGGTGGGGGAGTCTCCCCCTCTGGAGCCATTCCAAACCCGCCTGGACGCCGTCCTGTGCCACTGCTGGAGGTGCCCCTGCTCTGGCAGGGGGTGGCACTGGGGGAGCTCCAGAGGGCCCGGCCAACCCCCACTGGTCTGGGATTCAGTGATTCATGCTCTGGCATCCGGGGCCAGCAGAGATCAGGAGGAGCCCCCAAAGCCTGGGGGATTCCACCCATAGGGAAAGGCTCCCCTTGGTTTTTCATTTTGCTGCCTTGTGGAGCGGATGTTTTACCTCCTGAGGCACCGAGGAGAACGCAAAAGGCACGGCGATCCCACAATGGATAAATGCAAGCATGCCTGAGCCCCAAAACCTCAGCAAACGCCCAGGCCAGCCGCCCTTCCCGGCAGCCTTGAGGCTGGAGGGGCCACTTCACTGGGGGGTCTGAGCTAGAACTTGACCTGTTGGAGAACTAGCACAGACACATCCTTCCCATTTCGTGTTGCCCAGACCAGATGGGGCTTCACCAGGCTCCAGGACCACTTGCAGGCTCTACGCCACCTTGGTTGACAGAGCTGTGAAATGGGCTTTTGGCCTCTAAATGCACCAACAGCAATGTGCCAAGCAGGGCAGCACACAGCTGTCCCCTCTCCCCGCATCGAGCTCTTGATAGCATTTTAATGCCCTCTAATATCTCTGGACCAAAAAGCATTTTCTCTGCGCAAATAACACTCTGCACCTTGTGGCAGCCATCTGTCTGTGCCTCTCTGAGAGCTTTGCAGTCGTTAATAAAATTAGTGAGTCCTAACCTCCCCCTGAGCTGGGGAAAATGTGTTTCCCCAGGGGTGAAACGGTGATGAGTGTCGATGGAGCAGAGACTCGCCCAGGGCTGGGATAATGCTGTCCTCACCCTGCCCTGCTGCGAGGGGGCAACGTGCTCGCTGCCACGTGCTGATGCCACTCGGTCCTGCACACTGATGGCTGAGCGCTCAGGGCTGGGACACAGCCCATAGCCGAGCGCTTTGTCCTGTGGCTTCTTGTAAGGTTCTTGTAAAGGAGCAACGGTGACACCTGTGACAGTGTCATCTTTTGGGGCTGGAGGGTGGCAATGAATCGCAGCTGCATCAGAAGAGCATCCCTGCAGATACACACACACAGCACGACAATAACAGTGACAACGTTCAAAACTAAAGCAACCTCAAGCAGGTATCGGCACAGGCAGGGCTCGAGCAAAAGCTAGCAAGGGCTTTTCGGGACCCAGCTCGAGGACGGAAGGGTGGCTGCGTTGGTGTGACCATCAGTGGGTTAGTGGTGGGGTTTAGGGATGGCTTGTGCCATTGGTCCTCAGATAGGGCAGCAGCACCGCACCTTTTGCCCTGCCCTGAAAGCAAAGCTTAGTGCCACCAGCCATGCTCAGTGCCTGTTCGGTGCAGAGGACTCAGATCCCAGCCTGACTTTGGGACAGTGGTTGGCTCTGCCCCTGCCAGCTCTGGTGAACGGGTGCCCTGGGACACACTGCCCATGAAGAAGGGGACACGGTGTGGGGCTCGGTGCAGGTGGAGGACTGCAGGGCACAGGCACTCAGCCCTTCTCTGCTGCTTTCGGACACGGTGTGTGATGCCCTTGGAGATGCCAGCAGCCGGGATGGCCCATGGCACAGATCAGTGCTGGAGTCACCTTTTCACCGTCCCCTCCAGCCCATTTGAGCCCCCAGGATGTGGAAGGGCCATACTACCAACCAGTCCAAACACATTACTCCTTTTTCTTTCCCTTTTACAGGCCTTTGCACTGAAGCCAAGTGAAGAACCTCAGAATTGCACTACACGCCGTTTAACTCAGCTACGATTTCACTAACAGCAAAGCATCTCTGCCACCACTGAGACCTTGAGGGCTGTTTTTCCCCTCCCTGCCCATCGCTCCCATCTCCAGGCCTGGAAGCCGGTGCTCAGCAGTAGCTCTAACTCACTGTCCATCCCACTGGACCGCTCCCCACCATGTTTCAGCGTTTCACCAGCCTCTTCTTCAGTGACAGCAGCACGCCGGAAGGCTTGGAGGAGCCCAAACCCTTTGTCGAGGAGGAGGAGGAGGAGGATGGCTGGCTCGTGATTGATCTTGCAGGTGAGAAAAGCAGGAGGGACTGTTTTCCCACAGCCTCTGCTGCACCTTGTCTCCCCGCAGCTGAGCAAACCCCTTGAGATGACAGCAGATGAGCTTCCACCATGTGTGATCAGCTCTGCCCTTCACCCTTCCTCCCCTGGTCCGCCCACCCTGCCCATGGTGCCCAGCCCTGTGGTCACTGCAGCAGCCCCCGACCTGCTCCTCCTTTTTCCCTTTCCCAACAGTGGTTCCCGACTTTCCGCCAGTGTGGGAGCAGCAGCAGCATCCCCATCTGGGGCTGCTCCTGCCCGGGAGCCTCCAGGTGCCTCTGCACCAGGATGGGACTATGGCACAGCACCAGCCCCGGGAGGTCACCCAGGGTTTCGGTGTGATTCTGCCCGCCGGGGGCTCGGTGGGTTTGGGACGCCACCCCCCGCGGGCTGTCTGCCTGTGAGCTGCGGCAGTGCCGTGGCCTCGGCTGGGCTGTGCTGTGGTCAACGCTTTGCCCGGAGGAGCTGGGCTCAGCCGCTCCCTGCAACGCCCCTGCCGAGGGCAAACCAGGAGCCTGTTCCCCCAGGGGAAACCCCAGTCCCCGGGCACTGGTGGGGCGGGGGGGTGTCAGGGTTTTCCCCATGCGAGGGCAGGCAGTGGCAGTGACTGCCTGTCCCAACTGGGGACATGCTGGCAGCGATCTCGCCACGTTTGGGTGATTTGAGTCCATCAGGGGAGCAAATCTCAACTCCAAAGGGTTTATCTTCCCAAATCATTCCCAGTGCCCATGCCAACAGCACTCAAACAAGGGATGTTTGGCACAAGGTCCCCCATTCCCAGGAACGGCGACAACCATCCAGAGACCCGTTTGACACCAACCAGGCGGATCAAATTCCTTGTGTGTCAAGAGCTTCTCCAGCTCCATTAAGACCTTGCCGTTTCTGTTGTAGGGTCGATGACTCAACCAATTGCAATGATAATTTCATGACCTTTTGCTTTGCAAGTTGAGCAGCGAAGTTAGACAAACAAGCCTGCCTGTGCAGGAGCTCCTCAACGGCCATGGTCTGCTTTTGCAGCCTCTGGTTAGTTGGGGCGCCCCAGCCCAGGGGACCACGAATGTACCCTGCGGGTTGAGGAGGAGGGTTTTGTCATCCCTCTTGCAGGCATCTGTTCTCCGAGCAGATGCTCCCTGCCTGTCCCCCATGCACTGAGCAGAGCTCATTTTCATGATGTGAGTCATTCGTTAGGGTTTCCCCCCTACCCCTGCAGTGAGCTGGAGAGTGGACTGGAGCGTGGGCAAGCCTGGCATGGGGGACAGGGACAGCCCTGTGCCTGGTGGGAGCACTGCGGAGAGCTGGTGGAGGTGGATGGGTGGTGTGGGCACGGGCAGCCATGGAGGATTCCCTGTCCTCTGGGCTCTCTGGTGACTGTCCTGGGGGGGTCTCAGCAGTGACACAGGAGGGGACTGCTTGCAAGGCTGTCCCTGGAGCAATGGGCACTCAGCTGCCACGTGTCTGGGCCAGCTGGCAGCAGCTGCAGCGTGCCCAAAGCATGCCAGAAGGACCCAGGAGCTTCCCCAGACAGAGAAACGCTGGGCTGTGCCCTGATCCCCTGGGTCCGAGACTGCAGCCGGCTCAGCGGGGACCCAGGGATGACTTTGGTACAAAAGGTTCCCAGTTTTTTTTTTTCCATTCAAGCGGCCAAGCTCTCGGTGCATGGCCGGCTTTCCACAGTGTGCCTGCTTGGGACCTGCCACCCCACCGCTAATCCCCGTGGGCCTGCCTCTGCCTTTTCCCGGAGCATTCCCCAACCAGTGAGGGACTGATTTATTTCAGCCCTATTTCTGAGGCTGGAGTTATGCAAAGCACTTTAAAAACTAAACCCGCTGGCTCCAGCCCCCATCCTTCACCTTCAAGCCACAGCGGCCAGCAAGTGTCTCACAGCCCGGTTCCCTCCCAGTAGTGGTGCAGCCTAACAAGCCTCTGAATTCATTCCCTCTCGGCCAGGTCTTTGACTCACATGTTGCAAAACACACCCCTATCAACCAGATCTCCCCGGAGCGTTTCAGATGTCCCTCTCGCCCCATCACCCAGCCTGGCTCTGCGCAGCACCCAGGGAGGGAGCAAAGAGCATTTCCCAGTGCTTAGCGATACGGCTGCAAGTCACCCAGGCATTTGGGGATCCCGAAATATTCCTTGTGACATTAAAACCCACCTTGGTGAAGGATGGGGACAGGTAGCCATGGATGGCTAGGACAGGGTTCAGCCACACTGGGTCCCCTCCTCCCCACACCGGCAGCCCCCTTGTTGCGGGAGCGCTGCTGGACCGGGAACGCTCCAGCCGGGCTCGATGGCTGTCTCCCGGCTGACAAATAACCTCCAGCGTGGCAAGTCAACAACTATTAATAGCTTGATATCCACTAACCTGAAGAAAGACTCTCTCATGTTTGCAAGGCTAATTGTGGCCTGCCCTAAGCCCTGGGCTGGGACATCGTCCGCGGGAGGAGCTGGGGACATGCCAGGTGGGGAATGCCACCCCCGTGCTTCCTGCGCTGTATTTCTCCACCACAAGAACACGTTCACCTCTGGTTTCTCCTGCACCTTCACCCAGCCTCAGGGTCACACGTGTCCATATACATACTGCACCGCAGCCCCCCCTGCTGAGGCCAGTTCCCTCAGATCCCCCTGATGAGTCCAGGAATGGGTCTGGGTGTCCCGATGAGCCCAGCATTAGGGGCAGGCTGCCTTCACATAACACAACTGGTAATTCCGAGCACGGACAGCCCAGAAAGGCACCAGCCCAAGTGCTTTTGCTGGGAGGAGGTGAGGAAGGGAAGGTGAGGAAGGCTGGGGAGCCAGAGTGGGGTGGGGGGCAGCTCCTGGATCAACCACATAGAATTTGACCTCTAATGGACTGAAGCTGAAGGTGCGGTGAAAACCCTTGCTGAAGAATTAATTCCCCTGATTTCTTCCAGAAAAACAAGGTGTGAACTGCTTTTTTCCTCTGTGTGTGCATGGTTTCAACGTTTGCAAAGTGCCAGGTGGTGTTTGCAAGCGCAGGTGGGCCGGCGTTCCTCCAGCGCAGCGCGGCACAGCTCATGTGCCGAAAGAGCAGGCAAAAGCATTATTTCTGGCTGGCTGAATTTCTTCCTTTGTTTTGAGACGGAAAAAAAAAATAATGCTGCAGTAAACCCTGCTGATTTCTCCCACTTTTTGGTTAAACTGCCTAACCAGAACCATTTTTTGCTGGCTTAGCAAAGCCGGACCCAGCAGCACCGGCAGCCCCCCTGGTGCGGAGGGTGCTGGTTGGGGTGCGGTGCAGGGCACTGCTGGCCTCTCCCTCCCCACGAGGTCCCATCGACGCCGTGCCCGTCTCTAGTGGTGGTGATGGTGGTGGGGTGTCTCTTGCACTAACGATGCCCCTTTCTCTCCCCCCTCCCCTCCCCACTGCACATGGTATGTGTGTGTGTCCCCTAAACCAATTTAGAAATTGTTTTAAATAATTGTCCGGCACCCCCAGGTCCGCCGCCGCCGCCGGATGCTTCCCCAGCTCTGGCCGGTCCCTGCTTGATGGACGAGAGTTGGTTTGTCACCCCTCCCCCCTGTTTTACTGCAGAGGGGCCCGGCCCCGACATCGTGGGGAGCAGCCCCATGGAGGACCTGCTCATCGAGCACCCCAGTATGTCCGTCTACGTCACCAGCACCCTTGAGGTGGACGGAGAGGGCCTCGAGGATGATGCTGCTGGGTGAGTGCGCCTTGGGGGTGCTCACTGGGGACTGCCGGCCCCAGCACTTGCTGGGGGACTGGGGTGGATGGTCAGTCCTGGCATCCCACATCACCCTGAACAGCCAGGAGTGTTTTGCCCATGCTTCCCAGAGACGGAGTGGGGCTACGGGAGTGCTCAGTATCCCCATGTCCCACCTCAGGGAGCACCCTGCATGCCTGGGAGGTTGTCCCAGCCGGTGCTGTGCAAGGATGGCAGCCTCTGTGTCCCAAAATACTCCATTAAGAGCATCTCAACAGCATGTTGAGACAGCCATGGGTGCAGGACCGTAAGCTTGCTGCTGGGCTACGGTGGGAGATGGCTGTGTCCCTCTCCCCTGTCCTGAGCAGAGTCTCCTAGCGATGCCGCCTGTCACCCCACCGCCCATCCCGGGGGGATTGCCAGGCTGGGCTTAAACAGGGGGTTTTGCACAGGTATGGCACAAGCAAACCAAACCCAACGGGACAAGGTGGCCTTTGGGCACAGTGGTTCCCCCAGGACCGCTGGCTTCCCGAGGCAGGAGGGTGCTGCAGCCCCCCTGGTCCCCCTCCTGGCACAGCACTGGGATGTCCCGCAGCCATGGTGGAGCAGCACGTCACCAGCCATGGATGCAGACATTTTTCCCTGCCCCAAGGTCCAGCTTAGCCTGGGGGAGTAAAGTTAAACAGAAATTCCCCAAATCTCCCCACTGCCCTCTCCTGCCCCAGGAACTGTGGGCTGGAGCCCCCCACAACCCTTCCCGGGGCCACAGTCTCACTGCAGCCCCTGGGGAGCTCTGCTCTCTCCCCATGGCGGCCTTGTGGCACCGAGAAAACCCTGACCACATGCACTCTCAGTCCTGCCATGGCAGGGCAAAACACCGGGCCTGCCGGTGCCCCAGCACGCCC